TGTGTTATTTCTGGCTTGAGTGCTTGGAAGTCCTTCAGTTTTGTTTCTGCTTTTACACCAGACAGCATCTATCTTTGTAGCCTTGTCTTGTTGACCACAGGGACAAAGGCAGAATGTATAACACTGCTGAAAACAGATGTGAATAATTACTTTTGTGGCAGGGCCAAACCAGGTTTCTTTTTAACTACATCCACTCTCAGCCTGTCACTCTCCTTTTCTCTTTTCCATGGTCACCGTCTCTCTGAACTACCTTTGCTTTGCAAGTTGGCCTGACCTCTTAACAAAACTCATTTTGTCCCTAAGTGTAAAGTTCTTTCAATTTCTCCTCTAACATCATGTAAGTCCCATTTCAACTTTGTTCTAGAGATGAAAAAAGGGCAAGAAAAATTAGTTTATCTGTCATTTTAGCTCTTACAATCTCTGCTGGAATTGCCAGTGAAGTTTTTAAGGTGGAATCTGTGCTTCCCAGACACGTTGCCATTAAGAAGGTCATAGAGCTCATCAGCCCTTCTACTGTATTATTTTTGGAGCTAAATGAAAAGTTTAAAGATGTAAAGTCTGTTCCACTTTTCTTTGCATATTTACAATATGTTAATAATTGCAGCTAATGTTCTCAAAGTTAGAATCATTATTTCTAACGGTTCTTGATTTGAAGCATTATGGTATAGCAGTCAGCTTGTCATGGCTTTGACAAACACTTTATCATTCTATTTAAGGAATCAATTTTAATCTTCGAAGAAAAGGGCTTAGTTAATTTAGAAGTCAAGCAGAGAGGTGGCAGTCATATGAGCTTTTAGCACAATAGATATTCATAAAATATCTGCCATAAAATACTAAGCCTTAGGGACAGTTGCAGTAATATAACATTCCCTCTTTTCTCCTCCTGCACATGTCTACTCCCACTGAGGACGGTCATTAAAAGTAAGTGCTTATAAATTCAGAGCCACCTGACCTGCCATTAAAAATTTTTTTTAAGAATCTCATGTAGAAAAGAAGAAAGAGCAGGACTGTTCTTTGGTAGGTACTAGTGCCTTTAAGGGAGCTGATTCAGCTAAGTTTTGGTTAATATTCCTAAAGTCAGAGAGAGAACTATCTTAGTCTCAGAGCAATTATTAAATGCTATTATCTTTACATTTGCAATCTGATGGCAGAATAATACAGCCTCCTGGAGGAAGGGGAAGAACTCCAGTATCAGGGATATTTAAAATGAGACTGAATAAAAATTGCATGAGGTCCTATATGCAGCAGTCCATTAGTACTGCACTGCGATAAGACCTATCTCATGCCTCATGTTCCCTTTTAGAGAAAAGGAATTTTGGCCTCAACAAGGGCTACTTTATCATAATGATTATGGAGCTATTCTTGAACTCCTGTCTGATTCTTGTCATCACTTTTGCCATTTTCATCCCTGCTGACAATTCCCAGCCTTTTCTTCATAGCACCCTAGAAAACCATCGGCACTGACTCACTCTGCTGGGCACAAATCCATAAGCAGTCAAGGGGGGATTTATATACTTAAGTCCAAAAATTATCTGTTTCTCTTCTCTTGCTCCCCCTTTCCTAAATGATAGGCACCTCATTTTTATCATCTGTTTTTTTCTGGGCATTCAGATTTCTGTATATATGAGTGCAGGAATGACAATCTTGACATATCTTTGTGCAACTCAAAACCTGCTCTGTACCCAAACAGGCTGGGGACAGCCCCAGCCCAGCCACCCAGCCTCCAGTGGCAAGCACGGATGGGTGAACTTGGGGATGCTGGACGGTGGCTTTACAGACACGTTCGCAGCAGCAGCCCCAGTTATTTCACTTTCCTGATGGAGCCTGGAAATTTGTCTACTAGATCATGAGGGTGTTAGTCCTTTATGAATGTTGACCATATTTCTGCAGGATTGCTTGTGCTTAGTGTTTGTCCCGTGTGTAACACAGACCGTTGCAATCCATGCGAGCAGCCTTATGCTGAACCAAAGGGCTTAGAGCAAAGCATCTGAGTCCTACAGAAACTAAACTATTTGCGAGCTGCAGAGAAGAAATAAGACCAATCTGTCATTAGTGCCCAAGCCTTGTGCAAGGGGAAGGAAATCATTTAAGTGCAGATTTTTCAATGGACCGAACATGCCCACAACACAGGAGGAGGTGAAAACACATTAACCAAAACCCAGGGGGAAATTTCCCTCCCAAACCAGGGTGAGCAGCATGACCCTGTGCGTGCGATTATCTCCTCCACTTAAAAGCTTCTTGGTGTGTGATTGAGAAAGAGATGCTTTAGTGGATAGGAAAGAAAATCTCTGGTCACAGCCAGATCCTAGAGGTATATTTGCTCTGTATCCTGGCAAAGTCTTTCAGTGCAAATAAGAAAGATCTCCTGTAATAAATGACCAGTTTTTAAAAAGCTGTGCTTGAGGGTTTTTTCCCTAAAATAATCCTGCAGACCTTTCTCCATAGCAATTCCATTTTTGGCAATTTTGCTTGAAGAATCTTTCGTATGAAATGGGAACATTTGAAGTGAATCATTTGATTTGCTTAACTTAAAGAGGTTCCTACTGCATTTAATTTTAAGCTGATTCTCTCTAATTAAAGTTCAAGTCACTCTTAAATATTTAGCCTCATTAAATGAAGATCCAGGAAAGAAAATGTAATTATCTTTTTCTCTTTTTTTGCTTTACCTGAAATATGCCTTTTTTGAGTTTTTAATTTTGAAACACCAATTTAATTTGAGCTACCGACATTAATAATTTCCAGGGTTTCAAGCACCATTTAGTATTTTACATTTAAAAGCTAGGTCAATTGTCTGTATTATTATAGAGACTTTCCTTATAACAGTTTTACTGGGGGGAGAGAAGCAGGGGAGAATCAAATTCCATGTTGATCAAGCGATTGCCCATGTAAATGGCCAGTTAAACATGCAGCCTACATATTTTTCCATGCTTGAAATATTGGGAGATTTTTTGAGGATATGCTTGCTGAAGCGTTTTGGTAACTTGACCTGGTTGGCCTGTATCCTCAAACTTGTGCACCTAGAAGGCAGGAGTATGAGATCTGTGTTTAGTTCCAGGATTTCAATGGGATGAATGGTTATGCAGCTGTCCGAGAAAATCCGACCATTTTAGGCGACTCTCCTACTGCAGTCAGTCATCCAGTTCCCACGTGGCTAAGCCTGAAAATGTGAACTTGATGTCTAGCTAATAAGCAAGTACTGGCTGTTTTCTCATCGGTGCCCTCCCCTTATTCCTTGGCTGGTAGCTATTCATGTTCAGATTATTTTCTTTTTTTTTTTTCAGTTTAACAGACTATGACACCAGACAAATTAGTGAGCATTTTGTCTCCATGATTAATCAGTGAGCTTTCAGTTTTGGCACTGTGTTGTAGCATTGCCTAGAGGATAAATAAATAAATCAATCAGATATTCCTGGTAACTGTAAAATGATTAAGCAAAGGAGGGGGGGGGTTGAAAAGGCCACACAACAAAAAGTTGAATGATCGCTTTATCGCTTTATCACTCTTTAATGTGGAATCAAAAAGTATGTGGGTTTTTTGGCTTGGATAACTGGACATGCTAACTTGGGATCAACATTACTATTTCCTTCTTCCCACTGCATCTGCTGGTAGTTGTTACATGGGACTAAGAGACTTCCTTCATCTGAATTTCTAATGGGTTAAGTTGGAGTTGCAGCTTACATTTGGAAGTGTGGCTTCAATCTGAAATGAAGTATGTAAAAATGGAAATTTCTCTCTCAGTGAATTACAGTCCTGGCTGTTGACCTGAGTGACAAAACCCACTTTTTCCCTCTTGCAGAGCTGATACTGTTCAGGGAGACTGTTGGCTTTACTTCTGCCTCCCACCGTATTGCCACATTGCTAACTAGTTGCAAGGGCAAAATCTGTTCTCCTTTAGTATGTGGTGTACATTTGTCTTTCTGATGATGTTGGACAAGGTGGCTGTGGGAAGACTTTTACCCAAAGATTTTTACTTTTTTTTACGTTCAGGACGGATCTCGGTTTGCTGCCCTCAGCCTGATAGCAGCTGCAGGTCAGCAGCTGGAACATCCTCATGTGCTCTGAGCAGTTTTGGTCTGAGGTCTCTGGGAGGAAAACAAAAGGAACTCTTCCTATCTCCCAGCTACTTTTGTTTTATGTTTTGGAACAGAGAGTACAAACTCTGTGCCTGAGTATTTGACCCTACTTGTCAAAAATACAACTTTTCTTGAGTTCAGTTGAATTTCAGCCAAGATGTTAGAGGGCAGATTTTGTCTCAGCTCATGCAAAATGGCCATTTTGATGCAATTTGGTCTATTAGGTATGTTAATGCTAAAAATATAAAATTATGCTTCCATACGTATTTCTCTCTGAGGCCTTCTAGCCACTTAAACTATGGATGACCGGTAAATACTGAGTTCAGGTGGCCCTGAAGGAATTGTGAACATTTTGGCTATTACAAGTGTTATAAACAACTCCTGAAATCTTATTCAAGAAAACATGCTTTGTGTGTGCATGCAGCAAGTGGAGGAGGAAGGAGACCCCGTGAGGTTCCTCCTGAAGAGATAAAAACTGAAATGCATCCAGGTCCCTTAGCCGAGCCCCAACATAAAGAGGTGCAACCTTGTTGAATACAATAGTTGACCTATGTTATCATTCCGAGTTTTGTTTCAAGTCAAATACATCTTCAGTTACAATACCAGCATCATTTCCATTGTATCATTCGTAATGATGACTACAAAAAAGAAGACACCTGAAATAAAGCATTCCAGCAGTCAACTGAAGCATTTCCCTTATTTTTCACTTCATAATTTTATATCTGAAGGCATGTGTTTTTCTAAAACTGCTCTGTCTGCCTGATGACAAAGCAGCACAAAATATTGCTCTGGGTGGGTAAGGCTATCCATCCACACCTAACAAATGAGCTCCCTGAAAACTTCTCTGCGAAATGCCGTTCTCAGGATACTTTGTGTTCTCAAGGTCAGCCTGTTTCCTAACCCTTGTGTCCTTTTCCTTTCTTTCAGGGTTTTGAGGACCCCAAGGACAAGTAAGCAAATTTACTTCTGTCATACACTGTTATGTTTGCACATTTGGGATTTTTTTCTCGTATTAAAAAAAAGACAAAAATTAATGCCCAGCAGCCAAGAATAATGCCTGAACTCCCCAGAGGTTTCCCCTGGAGAGACAGCCAGTCGAGGGCACGGGATTGACTGGTGTGCATTCAGAACTGCTGCTGCCCTCAAAATGTTTATTTTTTGTGTGGTTCTTATTTGCTTTTGTAGTTTAAATGCTTTTGGTGCTCTTCCCCTTGCCCCCAATATTCTTCTTTATTTGCTGCTTTGAAAACATCCTAAGAACAATATCTTCCTGTAAAGTATGCCTAAGTGTTGAGTATCTCCAATAAGAAAAATTTATGTCTGTGTTGAAATATATATAGTTTCTGAGTTTATTTGTATATATTTTATTTTACTCATTATTACATATAACTTATTTCTATATATAAAAATGAACTCAGAAATGACAACTTATTTGAAAAAGTAAGTTCAAACTTTCATGCTCTAAAATACAGCCACATTAAAGCAGCATTTTCATTTTTCTTGTAGAGAACTTTTTAAAAAATGGTTAAAACAACAGTTTAAAAAGAGTGGCATTTTGAAAAATTGCATTTGGAGGAAAAAAAACCCAGCCATGTTCGCTTTTTAACCTCTACAGCTGGACATAACAAAAGCATTTCCTGTATCAAAGGTCTTTGGAATAATTTCACATTCAGTCTTACTGAAGGGCATTAACTGTAAGCTTGCTCAGACCAAGATAGGTGACAGTAGAGAACACTGATGCCTAAAATATGTTGCTATTGCTCCTTATCATGTTTCTCAGGCTGCTAGTCAGGACTAAGCAGACCCCTGTGAGCTGGGACAGCTAAACGCTTCTGTGGGCCTTGAGCATCCAGCTTTGGGAAAATTCACATTGTGGTGGTTGAGCATTGAGAGCAACTCCCTAAAAGTAAAGGGAAGTGATAAGTTTGAACACGGCAATATTAAGAATAATTCTCTCCTTCCCTTGCCCTTTACTGCAAACTTGATTTTCATAACACTTAGCTATGTGGACCCTGGGATGTTTTGCTGGTGCTTCATGGTGTCTAAGGGGAGTAACCAGGGCTTCTTGTTGCATCCACGGCTGCCGGGAATTCAGCTGATGTTAGGTATACTTTGGACAGAAAAGAGCTAACAGATTACAACAAAATAATTCTTAGGAATACAGAAATTTTAGGTATCTTTCATGAAATAGCATCTCCCCTCATTGTTTGTGGAAAAAAAAAAAAACATAAATTCAGCTGCCTCAGTGTTGGTCACCAACAGAGTAACCCAGCTGGTGAGCAGCAGCATCTCCACTGTTGCTCCAAGGACCATAATGTCTCTTCTCCATCCTATAGTTTGAAAAGGTTACTTGACCTGTTATGGCCAGTAGCTAAGAGCTGTGTATTTACAGTGCTGATTCAGTGTGACACCATCTTACACAGATCACAGGATTTTTACATTTCTGTTCAGCACCAAAAAAGCTACTACTTGCCTCAGATTCTCCTGATCCAAAAACCTGTTTAACTCAAAAACAAAGATGAGGCCAAAAAAAATTTCTAGCAGAAAGTGTTCATGGTGATAGTGGTTAAAATCAGATACCTAAAACATGTCAGGCACTCAACTCAGTGCCTTCATGTGCAGAAACACTGAACATCAATACTTTTACTTCTCTTACAGTGAAGGAGGATGTAGGCACCATGCATATTTGAAAACAGGACCCAATGCTTACATGCCTAAATGCAGATTACGCTATTGAATCTAGGCGTGAAGCATTTAAAATAATGGCATACATGTAGTTTTGGCAGTGGTCACACTCTTCATTTGCAGAAAGTAATTAAATCAGCAGAACATTGATGGATTACTCTGAAGCCAGCACCTCTGGGGTAATTGCTAGCTTTCACATTTGCACACAGAGTGCAAAAGTTGCTCTGAGCTCCGGTCGTGCTGTTCCTGTCCCTTGCACTAATTTTCTGTTGGCTGCATTTAGAGAAATCTCAGCAGTGCTTTTAAGAGGTATTTCTGGAAGTTTCATGGTGGCCTGAAATCCTTGGGTTCCCCCCACCACCACACTATCGATATATCAATGAGCATTTCCACGTATGGATGTCGTTAGTCTATAGCAGTACCTCTGCTCTGACTTACAGGTATTGCCTCCAGGGCACTCCTTGCACCCCTTAGAGGGGAAATTTTGTATTTCAATTTAAAACTTACATCTATGCAAATGTACCCGAATTGGCTGTACAGTAATTAGTCTGGGTACGACTGGCTGCAAAAGTCACCTGAGCAGCTAGGTGTATGCAAGGTGACTGAGCTTCCCTGGAGTCGACGTGAACGTGGCTGCCTCACTGTGAACATCCCAGCAAAGTAACTTAAAACCTGTGGGGATATTTCTACACAATCTGCAACCACCGAAGTTCTTGTAGTATTAGAGCTACCCTCAGCAGGATAATGACCTATTATAGCCTGTTGTGATAATGACCAAAGCCTAAGCAGCCCGTTTCTTCTCTTCACGTCTTCCTGAGTGACGCTTTTCAGCTGGAACTTGAAATTTGACTGAGGTTCACCAAGATGCTGAGCCCCCTTGCCCTCCAGTTCTAGGGGAAAACATATTACATCTCTTGTACGTGGTATGAAATGACTAAATGTGAATGACCCAACTGTGTAAATAAGTCGAAGGCTCTTGGAGGACATTCTGTAAATACAAAGCCTGATGATTTCCTTGCTCATTTTTATGAGTCCAGGAGACAGAATTGTGAGGACTGAATGAAAATAAGCAGCATCGTCTTGAATGCTCAAGCAGATGTGCTTCTTCTAAGGAAGCATCTAGAAGTGAATCGAATATCCTGTCCTTCTAGGGACAAAACCACTTTTAATTTCAAAGTGGAATATATGAAGTTTAAGGAATTAAATAACTCTAGAGTCCAAAAATAAAAAACTCTTTTCCCCAACCCCACTGAAATATTAAGATTGTCTAAAATAGAGATAAGACCTTGAGACAAACTTGGTTTGCAGTTGCCATATGGTCAACAAATAGATGCCGATGGCATGTCGCCATGACCTAGCTGAGGTGTACACACATTCAGCTCACCGGCAGGGGCAAAGGGAGGTGGAATGCCAATGAGCAAATGGACCTGATTTATTTTTCTCTTGGCAAGAGGTACACAGTAGAGTTGGGCTACAGAGTGCTTCCAAAAATCTGGTCAAGTTTTGCAAAAAGCTTTGGGAGACCCCTTCTTTTGAAGAGGGACTTTTAAAACAGAATCACATTCTGGTTTGTAAGCTGCTTTGTCTGTGGGGGCCCGCTGGCTGCAACACAGCGTTTGTGCTTTATGCTCTGTTATGCAGTACAAATAAAAACAAGAAAATAAAGCAGTATAGCTTTTCATCTTGCTTGTCAGACCTCAGGATTTTTTCTCCAGAGTGTCTAAGGTGAAGGTCACACAACATGAGCTGTAAATGGCTGTGCCATCGTGGGCTTTGCACGCAGAAATGGAATATGCCCCAGTGCAGGTGGGGAGCATATTCCAGTGGATAACTATTGGCATATCCCATAGATAACCTTTGCAATCATGCAGGCAGAACAGAAAAACAGCACTTCAGGATTAGCTTTTAATTTCTGCCTATAGCTAGTTTTAAGACAGGCCATTAAAGTGACAGCATCAAGTCATTAAAATCCTCTTAGATTTTAAAAATAACTAGAGAGTTGGGGATGTGCTTCAGGTTTCCTGATCCTCACTGCAAAATGCCTCAGGGTGATTAAGTTTTCAGTGTTATTTTTTTCAACAGTTTTTGAAAATCAGCCTCATTTTTCTGAAGCTGAGCATCAGAAACACGCTGATACAAAAGATTATAAGCAATTTAGAAACTTTGTTCCACATATTTTAGAAAGCAGAATCTAATACCTTGAGCTAAGTAAATGTCTTGTAAACAGAAAATTTTGCCTGGTTGATGCTTTATTCTCATAAATAACTGCATGAAGGGGAGGCAATGGGGAGTCAGGCCATATTTTTTCCCCACATTTTCATTCTGTGAACAATTTTTTCTCAAAAATGGAAAATTGTTCAAGTTCAGAAATTATCACAGAAATATTTACAGAAATTATTATTGGGAAGCAAGAAATATGACTGGTTACATAGATCATTTTTCCAGTTCAGGCACTAATAGCCATGAAAACACAGCAGTGCAGGGAAGAATAAGTCAGAGGACTAGTGGAAGAAGACTAATGACTGGTTTTAGAGAATGAAGGATGGTAAAGAGACTGCAAGGCAAGAAAACAGATGGATGTAGTACAGAAAATCAAATCCTTTTGCTGGTAGACTCAGGACTGGCAATGAGCTCTAGAGCTGATATAATTTTCCTCTCAGCTCGTAATCCGTTTTCAAACTTGAAGCTGTCATAAGCAAAATGCCATTAACCTCCAGCTTGTTATACAGTGAAATAATAACATATGGTGAAGAGGGGGAACTTATCTTGTCCTCTCATGCTTCCTTTTTGTGACACCCTCAGGAATACACAGGAAAGTATGAACCCAGAAGATGAAGTGGATGAGTTTCTGGGCCGTGCCATTGATGCCAGAAGTATTGATCGGTTACGGTCTGAGCACGTGCGCAAGTTCCTCTTAACATTCAGGGAGCCTGACTTGGAGAAAAAGGTAATGTCTAAAAATCATTGCAACGTGTAGGTCAGGCTGGTTGTGAGTTTTAATTCCCCTGCATAAGGCCAAGCTTTTACATCTATAGGTAAAGCTAGGTTTTAGGAGTTAGTTGTGATCTTAAAAAAATCCATGCTTCCTGGAAACCTTAATATCCTTGTCCCTAGAAAGCTACAGATATCTGAAAGGAGCACTGGGCAGGAAAACCAAGCCGTCAGACATGTGCCAGTGTACAATGGTAAGCTGTAAAGGGAATCCAGAATAAGCCAGATTTATGCCTCTGACCTTGAGGCATCCAAACTGAGATTGCAGTCACCCCTTATATCCCCCAAATCACTGGAGAAACCCACTTCAGCCTGCCTGAGCTCCAAATCACCTCTGGAGGGGCTTTTCCCTGCCCTTTGTCTCATCAGGGAGCCCCAGGTACTACTAAGGTTCATTAGGATACAGTTCATACTCTGGTCATTTTTGAGAGCCCATTGTAAGCAGCAAGTAGAGTTCATCTCACAAATGTGAGGAAGAGGAGTAACAGACCTAGAGTTCCCGGAACAGCTGATTGCTTCCTCATTTTGTTTCAGATATCATTGTTGTGAAGCAAAGATAATTTCAATTTCTCTGTCTATATAATAGAGACAACATCTGCTCTAGGTGGCTGCTAAGTTAAATTCAGTTAAGTCCAGAGGTACCTGGCTGCTATTATTAAGGGTACTATATTAACTGCTGCTTTTAATTGCCTAAAGAAAGTCAAAGTCCCTTGTTTGTTTTTTTTATCCAAGCACAGATCCTTGAGATACTTGAGTGGTCTTCAAGTTAAACTCATTATTCCATGAAAAAAGCTTCAGTAATAAGTTTGCACTAATTATTTTATCATTTTGTTTAGAAACAGGACAGGAATTACAACCTATTGCAAAAGCAGACCTTTGCAGGATTTACAGCTATTCAATGAATCAGTGTGGGACTGGATAAAAGCTCAAACATGTGATTTCCC